TCCTCACAAATGTTCCTATGAATCAAAAAGAATAAGTCTTCGGAATCTTCACTTCACTTCAAAAAGAAGATCCTGCGTAGGGATGAACGTTAAATTTGAACGTTGTGAAATTCTTGATATGCCTCTTTGCTTTCTCGAATCAAAAATAAAACTTTCATTCGTTGTTGCTTTTTTCATTTATCAAAACCTGAAAAATAACCTTAAAAATTCATAATGGGGTTTGAACTCATGTCCAACACTCGACAGCAACAACGAGGCATGGTGACCACACCCATCAAAAGAGCAACCCCTTCACCCTCTAGCTCATAGCAGCAGCAGCGCAGAGAAGAGGAGGGAGCAGAGGGAGACAAGTGAAGAAGATGGAAAAGAATGAAACCGAGCAGTAGAACTAACACATGCAATTGTAGATTTTCAATTTTCCAAATTCAATCCGGTATCCCCCACTTAAATTCCACAATTCAATCACATAATTTGAATCAAGAGATTAATAGACATATTCACACATTCAACGCCAATTGAACAAATATATATTAAAGAATCCTAATCTACGAATCAATTCTAACGAGAGATACCGCCACGCACCTTGATTGACAAAGATATAACTTTCTGGTGAAGCTTCGACGTAGTTCCAGCAAGGCTCACTGGTCTGGTCCGTCCGCATCTGATCGAAGAAGAAGATGACTTCTTCTCTCTCGTTTGGATGCGCAAATATGAATAGGCAAAGAAGATTTATTGAACTAGGGGGCAGATAAAGGCTAAGCTGTATTTTTTCCTTCTTTTCCAAATTAGGATTTGGAATTGGTTTCCTCTTTTTGTATTGCATTGTTTCTTTTTTTGTGTTGACCGTAGGTTTAGAATTTAGGTTGTTTCTAATATTATTTTATTACTTCGTCATTAAATATATTTATTTATTATATTGTAATATTCATTTTGCTCATACAAACTCGACAAACAATATATTGTTGGTTTCCTTTTCTCGAGACATACCCAAAAACCCAAATTTTGTTAGATAATATTATCTCTATGTCATATTTGTATTATTATTTGTTTCCTTCATAACCTTTTCTAGGGTATATTTTGGGGCGTTACAACAAATGAGTTTTTCAAATGATGATTCATTATGGACTACCTTTGTGGATGTTGATGACGTTAATGATGATGGACAAGATAGGGATAGTCTTGATTGTAATGACATGGACAATTTGGAGAAAAGTTATAATAATGAGGAAGACGTGACACCAAAAAAAAGTTGGAAATGAGCATTTAAATAATGACAAAGAAGTCAAAAATTCTGAATAGTACAAAGTTATACTGGACTTCTGAATAGTACAAAGTTGTATTGCAGAAAGATCGAGGTAAGTATGCATGTACATGCAAGCAATATGAGTATAGTGGCATTCCATGCCGCCACATAATATGTACTATGCGCCTTGACCATGTTCATGAATTTACTACGAGTCTTATTTGCAAACAGTGGTGCAAGGATGCAAAGAGTGCATTTGTTTCATCATATGAACGATAACATGTTCATGGCACGATTTGGAGTCCTAGATGGTCATTGTAACAGGCTCTGTCACATTGCTGCGAAAAAGTATGAGACTTTCAATATGTTCAAAAATGAAATTTTGAATCTGGCCACAGAGTTGGATCAATATGGTGGATCGAGTAGCATTTCTGATTTTAATTATGTATGTGATCCAACTGTAGTGAAAACTAATTTTGATTCGAAAAGGAAAACATTCAAGAAGAAAGATATGCATTGCTCTACATGTAAGAATAAAGGTCATAGAATAACCACATGTCCTCTTCGGTTATCTATGAATGATGATGACTAGAGCATTTCTGATTTTCATGACAATGAAGAAGACAACAATTCTGATTTTCATGACAAAGAAGATAAGGTAAATTTTCTCCTCAATGGTTGTGCATAATAATTTATTTCCTCTTTGTTATGTGAAGGATGTAACTTGTCACTATTAAATGATTTTGTTAATAGGATGAAGAATCATTATTTAGTCATGGTTTGACGAGGGATGGAAAACAACCTGACAAGGATTTTTTTGGTGCTGCATTAGTTGGTATCACACATATGGGAGCCAATGTAATGTTCCTAACTAACATAAATTATACTATGTATGTGTTTTTATGATTCAACATATTATGTGATCTATTACTAAATGTGTTATAGGATGAGTCCATAAAAAGTGTGGAAAGAAAGGTTTGTTTTATTGTTTTTTCTACATTTTTCACATTAGATGTTGCTTTTATATTGATTATTTTTATCATGTCTAGCAGTCATTGAAGCATAAGACTAATAGCTCCTCAGGGAAGTCTTCAAATAAGCTCAAAAGTGCATCCCTTACCGTCACTACACTCCACAAGTGCATCCCCCACATAGCAGGTGACTAATTTACATGTAAGTATCGTGCACGTTAAGTGTTTAGAATTTTATAATTAAGAATACTCTTGTTTTTTTGTGTAATGACAACACCTATACCAGGGAATCAATATGGAAACCATGTACAGTATCATGAAGTTTAACATTTCTCCGTCACCTCATGGGATATATTTGCCTCCAATGTATGGAGTAGTTCCTACGAACCCACATTTAGCTTTATCTTCATTTGTCCTCGTGCCAAATTCAATGGTAATAACTTTGATGAGGTTTTGCTTTATATTTGTATGGTTTTAATTATTACATTTGATTATTAAAATTCACCTACATTTAAATTCTATGTTAGGGCTATGGTGCTCTACTCCAGCAAATGATGAATGCTAGTAATTCTAGTGAGATTGTTGGACCACGTGTGGTAAAAAGAACAACAGACAACAAGAATAATGAATGGTTAGAGATGAACATGAAATAGGTAATATATTGCTAGAAGATATTGTCTTTGTGAATAGGCTGGCATTTTGTCTCATTTTTAGTTTCACTTTTAGTTTCATTAATGTTGGAACACACTTTTTATTACGTTAAACTAAAGTCGTGTTCATTTCTAACAGGTTTTGATAATTGCCAAACCATCGTGGATATGAAGAGTTTCATTGAACAACTCGAGGCGTGAAGATGGCATGGAACAAGACCAAAATACTTAAGGACAAAGATCAAGAATTGAAGACTTAGTCGAGTCGGTCTTATTCGGATCAAAACCGACAATCAATTCAAGTCTCGGTTCTTAAAGAGTCAAAATAATTTTACAAAATCATAAAACATTTTTTGTGCATCAAAATAAACTTTTTTGATAAAGTTTTAATGTCTTAAAAAACCCGGTCCTTGCCCAGACCAAAAACCACCCCGGTCGCCGTTCGGTGTTCGGCATCGGCGTTCGGCATGCGGGGTTCGGCGTTCGGTTTTCGGCGTCCGAACCAACTCGGTGGTTTTCAATTTTTTAAACCTCCTTTTTACCTATGGGCATATTTTAAATGTTCCCAAATAATTATTTTATAAAAACCACTTTTGTATCTTGGTCAATCGGTCTAACACGTGAAAAACGATCAAAACCGTACACACGTGACAAACGACCTCGAAGACTTGGTTTTTATCAAACAAGTCTTGGTTTCACTATTTTATACCATATACAATGTTTTTTAAACTTGGTTTTTACTTTTGGGAACACTTCGTTTTTGGACCTCAGCTTTTCGGGTTAAGTTTCTCGCTGGATGGTTTTTGCCACCAGATAATCGACTGACAATTTATGTCAATCGAATGTTGGCTGCTGCAGATTCTGAGTATTAAGTTCAGAACCACCCAATAGTCGACTGGCACTTATTGCCACTCGACTGTCTGCGTTTAACTTCAAACGCAGAAACTTCTGAGAGGCCTGATAGTCGAGTGCCACAACTTGACAATCGACTATCAGTGTTACCATTGTCCTCCAACGGATAGAATTTTAAATTTTTGGACAGGGAATCTTTTGATAATCGATTATCAAGGCTAGACAATCGACTATCACCCTGCATCTCTGAAAAATTTGTCTTCATCCTATTGGAAATTATAGTAACACGTTTATCCCATTTTAGGCTATAAAATGGCACCAAAATCCTCTCATTTTACACAAAATTCTTCAACATTTCAATACTCTTTCATTGCATAAGCATTCCTTTTTTTCTTAGCTTTTTGAGAGCCAATTCTTGAAGAAATTGTCGTGTTCTTGAGCGTTTACTAGTTCACTTCGTGAGAGTTTTATTCCTGAGTGTTTAAGTGTTTCTATACACTTTAAGGGAGGTTGTTCCCTTGTTGTAAACTCAAAGGAAGTGTTTCGTTCCTTCGTGAGAAGTCTTGGAGTGCGGTATCTCCGAGCAAAGGTGTTGAGGCTCGTGTGACTCGAGTTCTCAAGCTGTATCGGTTTGTTGAGCACCTTTAAGCTTAACGGAGTTAGTGTAACTCGAGAGAGTCTCTCGGGAGGCTGGATTAGCCACACGTTGTGGTGAACTAGGATAAAATTTGTTGTGCTCCTTCCTTACGCTCTTAACTTTATCACTCTCGTTTTTAATTTCCTGTGATTTTGTTTTAAACGCTATTCACTCCCCCCTCTAGCGTTGGGCCTATATTCTAACAATTAGTATCAGAGCCATACTCTCTGAAAGACTTAACCGCTTGAGAGAAATGATCAATGGCTTCTACTCAAAATTTATACGCAGGAATAGGTGAAGGTCAATCTGCCACGAGGCCACCGTTATTTGATGGAACAAATTATACATATTGGAAAGAGCGGATGAGGATTTTCATTCAATCCAACAACTTTCTTTTGTGGAGAATAATTAAAAATGGTGAAGAAGTGCCCACAAAGAAAGTTGGGGAAACCACCGTGCACAAAACCGAAGATGAGTATGATGAGCGGGATATCAAGAAGATAGAAAACAACGCCAAGGCTATCAACATCATCTATTGTGCTGTAAACCCGGATGACTACCGGAAGATTTCTTGTTGTTCCACCACCAAGGAAATGTGGACAAGCTAGAAATCACATATAAAGGTACGGATCAAGTCCAAGAAGCTAAGATAGATTTTCTAACCCATGAGTATGAACTCTTTCGTATGAAGGAGAACAAGAAAATCGACGATATGTTTGAACGATTTTCAAAAATCGTAAATGATCTTCATGCTCTCAAGAAGACATACACGGACAAGGAGCTTGTGAGAAAAATCCTGCGGAGTCTCACACCGGAATGGCGCTCCAAAGCCGATGCTATCCAAGAATCCATCGGCATCACCAATGTCACCATTGACGGGCTTAGAGGTAACCTCAAAACCTATGAGTCTACAATTCTTTACCCCTATATAGATGAACAAAAGAAGAATGGGATTGCACTCAAGGCGTCCATAAGTCAAGAACATGATGTGGAGGACTCGAGTGACAAAGACGAGTTCGGGGTCGTGCTTAAGAAATTCCATAAGTTCATGCGCAAGGAGTTTGAACGAAAAAAAGAAGCAAGGAGAACCACCCAAATGCTATGGGTGTGGAGAATTCGGGCATATAAGACCAAAATGCCCAAATGCCAAGAATGAGAAGAAACCGTTCAAGAAGCACCGAGCTTACTGTTGGAACACGGGTTTACGCCTATGTCGTACTAAACCGTGTTCGTTTTATGCCAGGTTTTGATAATGCCAAACCACTGTGACAACAACACGAAACTAAGAAGATCAAAGGCGAAGTAACATGGCATGGCGATTTGAGAACCGAGAACCAAGAACCAAGAACGAAGACTTAGAATTTACTGAGTCGATCTTAATGTGATCAAGACCGGCACAAACTTCAAAACTTGGCTCTCTAGGCTACTCCATTAAAATACTCTTTTGAATATTCAAAATTGTTTTTCAAAAGTTTTATACAAGCCTAAAACACTTGGTGTTCGCCCAAACCAAAAACCAAGCCATCTGGCGTTTAGCTTTCAAAAACCGGCGTTCGGCATTCGGTTATCGGCATTGGTTTTTTTGGCGTCCGAACCAACCAAGTGGTTTTCAACTTTTTATGATTTGTTTTTTTACTTCTGGGCATATTTAAATAGTTCTCCAACAAAAACGCTTCAAAAACCACCTTTCTTTTTTTGCCGTTTAGTGAAAACCATGCGAAACGGCGCAAACTTGGCTAGCCGTGGTTTTCATATAAATGACGTGGTTTTTAAGATGTTTTACTTGATTTCTTAGCAAAAAGCATTAACCAAATATTTTTAATACTTGGTTTCTATTTTGGAGAACTTACATTTTTGACATCGGCTAACGGCATGACTAAACCAACCATGGGTCTGGCTAAACCAGCCCAACAGTGATGTTGGAGTAACCAACAACGCTGTCTGGCATGGGTAGCTGAAAAACCATGGTTTGGCGTTAAGTCTTCCAACAGCAATGTTGGTGTTTGGACATCGATGTTGAGCCAAGGTTGGGTTTCCAGAAACATCTGGAACAGCGATGTGGACAACCCTACATCGCTGTCCAACCTAAGCCAAAAAGAAATGCCTTTGGCAAAAAGATTTTAGACAGCGATGTTGACCCAGCAACAGCGTTTTCAGGCCAACTCCTTCCCCTTCAAAGTCAGACCTAAACAGCGATGCTCAAGTAATGAACATTGATGTAGGGACCTGACCGTTGGAAGGAAGTTAACGCTAAAACTTTCCTTGTTTGGAAGTCAACAGCCAAAACAGCGATGTAGGGGTTTTTGGACATCCCTGTTGGCATGACCGTTGCTTCCCAATTTTCAAAAACCAAGCCTAGAACAGCGATGTCCAAGCCATGGACAGCGCTATCTGGTTGAATTTTAGCAGATCCAATTTTAATCAAATCCCACAAATTGTGCCAATCACCCCTTAAATGTTTTGATCCGTTGAAGCCTATTTTTCTACTATAAAATGGGATGTTTGGGTCTGTTTTAGATATCACATTACTTCACAACTCCTACTCTTTCATTGCAAATCATTCATCCTTTGTAATGCCCCAAAATATACCCTACAATTATTAATGAATAATTATTCAATTAATCAAATTTGTTTTGATTAAAATAAATTGTTGTTGCACTTTGGGCCGAAATAAAACATATATTGATATCCAATATCACAATCTGGATAAATCTCATAGAGATAAATCCAATATGTTGACTTACTGTATGATCTTAATTTGGGGAACCAGAGTATAGACCCAAATTAGGGATTTGTTTATAATGTGAACTTTGAAATGATTTATTGAAATAAATCATGAAAATAAATAATATGAATTAAATATATGAATTTTATTGCACAAAGTTCAATTAAATGAATTTTGACTCTGTCAAAGTCAACCACCCAAAAATATGATGTCGGAAAAAGTATTACAAATAAATATGAAAATTATATCTTCGGATAAAGTTTAACTCCACGATCGCAACGGTGCAAACAGATTTCAATTTGGAGAACGTTGGACCAAGAAGTTTACCCCGACTGGGACCAAAAGTAGTCCCAATCAGGGACTTTCGTTTAAAATCTGTAGGAACCGCAGCCCCCTCCAGTGAGACGCAAAAACAGGAACAGATACATCATCACCTTGGCCTCTTCCTCCATTCTTTTGCTATATAAGAAACCCAACTTCACCATTTCTTCACCATTCTTCATGAAATTCGATCTGAGAGATAGCCTTGATGTGGAGAATGCAGTGGTTCTGTCAATTTGGTGTGAGGTCACCGGAGTTTAGAGCTATTGTCGCCGGAAGTTTCGTCGGAAAATCTTCAAAACCTCCATTATGCTTCGAGGTAAGCCCGTAGATATATCTAGTGATTAGAATGTTCATATAGATCGTTTCTACATTCATAAACGGTCGTTTGGTTGAGTTTTGTGTTTGACATGTTTGAAGAACCAAGAATCATAAACCTTGAAATCGTTGTTAAAACTTGGAACTAATGGTACCAAAATGATATATGAACCTTGGAGAACATTTCTATATACTTTAATTGAAGTTTGGTGACTAAAAATGACATTTTTGAAAGTTGGCTCGAGGTAGAAGACAATGTAAAATTGATTTTTCATAAATAAATCGATTAGACTTTTGTCTGCTGGAGAAATTCAGTTCAGCAGCACAAAAATCGTTTTTTACCCAAAATAATCGATTATTTTGAGTAAAAATCGATTATTTGAGCAAAATAATCGATTAGGCTATTAATCTACTGAAGAAATGAATTCAGAAGCAATTAATTGATTTTCCTATGATATATTAATCGATTATTGTTCAGAAAACATGGTCTTTGAGCTATGAAATCCTATTTTTGATACCAATTGATTATGATCATTATAAGGATGATTTTCCACCATGAAAATGATGTTTTTAACAATTAAAACCTTATGTGATGCATAACGGTAAGTTAGAGTGTTAACACTCGAAACTAGGCCGCTACTTGTTATTGAAATTGATGACTATGATGAATGATTATTATGGATGATTATGAATGATGAACCTACTGATTAGAATGATTATTGATGATTAAATCATGATTAAAAATGAATATAATGGTTATCATGGAAATGATGATGATTATTAAGGGTATCTAGAAGACCTCTAAGATATATCCATATTAATGTTGATTTGAAAGGTATCTAGAAAACCTCTAAGATATACCTGTTTAAGTTAGGCCTTGCGGGTATGAACCCCGGTGGCTAGGGTTAAAACGTACGTAAGGGATCCAAGAACCAAACTCGAGTACCTACTCGTTTGGGGGTACCACCCACCCAACAGTGAACACTACGCTGTCGGTTTTTGGTTGGCCTTAAGTGAAGGTAAGTTTAAGATTTTCAAAACCCTTTCATCTTAAACTAGGCCTAGCTTAAGGATTATTTAGGAATACTTTATACTGGAATATAGTTTATTTATTTAAACTAGAATTCGTGTAAGGGTTGACAAACATTAAAGTGATTGGCCTTAGACTAAGAATAGTTTAAGGATATTGTCGAATATTGAATATTGAATATGAATGAATATTGAATGATGATTATTGAATTGAATATTGTGATTATTATGAATGACAGATGGCCATTGAATATGAATGAATATTGAATGATGATTATTGAATTGAATATTGTGAATATTATAAATAACCGATGAACGTCGAATATGGATATAAATGTTGAATAATGAATGATGAATACTGACTAATGATTATTGAATATCTGAACTGAACATTATGTGCATGATATCAAATGATTTGATTATGAATTTAGATTCAGCTTATATGGATGTTCGACACATTAGATATGCTTACTCAGCTTCAACGCTGAGCGTGTAGTATGTTTTATATGCTACACGCAGGTTAACAGAAAGAATCAAGTGATGTGATCCTGGAGGCAGACGGAGGCGAGATTGTCGGAATGGATGTGATGGTTCGAGTTAAAGAACATAAATAAATTATGTTTGTATTATGATTTGTTAAGCTTCCGCAATATTGAAAACTCCGTACTGTTTATGTTATGAAAAAAATATTATTGTGATAAATAAAAGTATTGAAGTGTTTTAAATTTTACGATTACCAAGTTACTCCCTCCGTCCTATAATGATCTTCCCGGTTCGCAAAACGAAGAAAAATCCCAAGTTTTTTCAATCTATTTTATTTAAATATTCGTATAGAAATAAAAAATAAAACATACATATTTAAAAACTACATCAAAAGTTCAACAAAACAAGTGGTGACAAGAATATTTTATTTTATCATATAGGCCATGAAAAAACACAAATAAATATAAATTCCCGTGAAGTTGGAATAGTGCTCTGGGAAGATCATTATAGGACGGAGGGAGTAGTACTTTTGTCCGAAAGGGGCTGCAGGCCTGGACGGATTGGGGTGTTATATCCTTTATTCATAGCTTTTTGAGAGCCATTTTTGTGAAGCTTGTGTTGTGTTCTTGAGCGTTCTTAGTTACTCATTATCCACTCTAAAAGGGAGTACTGTTTTTGAGTATTTTTAGTGTTCTTAGACACTTGACAAGAGAAAATATTTCTCTTGTTGTTTGAAGGAAGGGTTGTTTCCTTCGAAGGTTCGTTGAGGTTCGTGTGACTCGAACTCTCAAGTTGTACGGGTTTGTTAAGCATCGTTAAGCTTAACGAGATAGTAGTGTAGATCGAGAGAGTCTCTCGGGGGGCTGGATTAGCCATAAGTTGTGGTGAACCAGGGTAAATTCGGTGTGCCTCTTACTCTTCTCTTTACTTCTCTTTCATTTATTTTTAATGCCTGCGATTTCTTGATCAAATGCTATTCACCCCCCTCTAGCGTTGGTCTACTATTCTAACACTTACATCTCGTGGGGAGGTGATTCCGGCGACGAGTCATCAGATGGTGAAAGAACGAAAGCGCCAACCTTTGCCTCATGGCTCACGAGGAACCACCGGAAGAGGTATGTACCACTTCTAAAAATTCCTACACTTTTGATGATGTTCAAGAAGCCTTCAATGAACTTTATGGTGAATATGTCAACGCTTCTAAAATTAACAAGGATTTGAAGAAACAACTTACTTCCATGGAGAAGGAAGTTGATAAACTATCAAAAGATAATGAAAAACTTATAGAAGAGAATATTTTTTTCGGAAAAAGAAGCGCCGACAAACCGGAAAGTTCCAAATGTTGTTCGTGTACATCACTTAAGCAACAAGTCGCAAAACTTGAAGGAACCTTGAAGAAGTTTGGTGTTTCTCATAAAAATCTTAATGATGTTCTTGATAATTTACAACTTACTAAACATGGCTTAGGGTTTGAAAATGAAATTAACAATAATAAAGAAAAAGTTGAGCAACCACCTAAACAACCTAAGGCTCAACTTAGTAGAGATAAAATGAGCAATAATAGACAACCTAGATCAACAAGGAACACTAGACCACCTAGAAAGAACACTAGGATAAACAATGGTCATGTTAGAGAACCTAGAAACAATTTTATAAATACGCATAAGTAAAACTTTTCTGAAACTAGGATCAATCAATATAGAAAACCTAGCTATTATTATCAACCTAAGAGAATGCACAATCCAAATGTAGTATGCCATTTGTTGAAACACGGGCATGTCACGTTTTCGTACTAAAGCCGTGTTTGTTTTTATGACAGGTTTTGATAATGCCAAACCGCCGTGATCAAGTCAAACTTTGAATATACAAGGCGAAGAAGGAAGACAAGAGTAAGAGCTAAAAGAAGACCAAGAACGAAGACCTTAGTCTTAGTGTCGTTGAGTCGGTCTTCATTGTGATCAAGACTGACCCAATCTTTACACCTTGGCTCTTTAGGCTAAAAACCTTCATTGCACTTCTTAAATCATAAAAATGCTTTTCAAACATGTTTAAGTCATTAAAAACACTTGGTGTTCGCCCAAACCAAAAACCAAGCCATCCGGCGTTCGGGTTTCAGAAACTGGCGTTCGGCTCTCGGTTATCGGCTATGGTTTTTGGCGTCCGAACCAACCAAGTGGTTTTCAACTTTTTATGATTGGTTTTTACTCTTTGGCATGTTTAAACGGTTCTCCAACAAAAACACCTTGAAAACCATCT